GGATAGTATATTGAGGAGCGGAGTGTCACGTACCGACACGAGGGGAATAAAGATAATGAATATTGAAATATGTTAATATATCCAATCTAATGAACTAAATTCCCAAGTGAGTATGATGAGGAGGTGTGAGTCCTCATTGATGTGCTTGGTGTTGTAACCAAGGGTTTTGGTAACTGTAAATGCTGCATGCTAAGGATATTAGTTGATTTTATGATATTGCTGAATACATATTGTTTTCTATTTTGAGTTGGCCGATGATATCTACTCAGTACCCGTGTTTTGTACTGACCCCTACTTTTATGTTTTCTTCTTGTTTATTTGTGGACTGCAGCAAACGCGCCATCGTCTTCAACTCAACAGTAATTCAAGCCAGTCTTACTACATCGGAAATTCAGGGTGAGCTAATGCTTCTAGCTTGGACTGGATCTTCTTCTTCAAGTCTTGATGCCTTGAACTTCTGGCATGGACTAGCTTCTTATGTATTTTTAGCTTTTAGAATACTCTTAGTTTAGTCGTTTGATCGTAGATGTTCTTGTGATGATGACTTCCAGATTTTGGGGATAATAATAGTTATTGAATTGGTTTTTATTAATGAGTTTAAGTCTTCCGCATTATTTTACTGATGATATTACATTGAAATGTTAAGGTTTAGATGGGTTGGTTCGCTCACATAGGAGGGTAAGTGTGGGTGCCAGTCGCGTCCCGGATTTGGGTCGTGACAATGTGTCACTGGCAGTTGCAGCTCTAGGAAAATTTCCTCCCTTTTTGAAGCAATTGTTTTTCCTTACAATCTTCTTAAATCTCTTGGTAAGGTAAGCCATATAATCATCTTCACTAGATCCTTTTTCAAGGTTGAATTTTAGCATTAGAGACTTGTCCTTCTGACTTCCCTTTTTAAAGAATCATGACTTTTGTTCATCTCATTTGTCTTGAGATTTCAAATAAGAGCATCCATGGTTAGAACCTTCAGATCCTTGGCTTCAGTGATAACATCCTTATATCATTTTAAAGTTTTCATATTGAGAGGTAAGAATGTCTATATTTGACTCCTTTAGTTTCTCAGTCCCTTCATGATTAGTTCTGAAGCAATCCCAAATCTCCTTTGCTGATTCACAAGGGGAGACACGATTATATTCTTCAGCACCTATGCCGCAAACAAGCAACTTCTTTTCTTTGTAGGGTTTTTCAAAGTTTTTTATATCAGCTTCAGTGTATTGTTGTCGAGTCTTTGGAATAACTCAATTGATCTCTCCATCTTTTACTTTATATGATGGAATAAACAGTCCATCCAGGATAATATCCCATAGCATACTATATTCGGCCATAAGAAAATCATGCATCCTTATCTACCACGAGCTATAGAACTTGCCATTAAATTGAGGAGATCTAGTTAAAGATTCACCTTCTTCTAGATTAAGTGGAACAACCATTGTACAGGAATCACTCTCTTTGTATTAACCAAATAGAGAGTACCCGCTCTGATACCACTTGTGAGAATCTGAGCGTCCACTTACCAGTCAATGCACTAGGTCCCATGACACACTCAAATTTACAACTACAATAAATAAATGCAGATTATCAACAGTCTGTTTATGGGGACACCTCAATGATCAAGGGAGTAAAACCACGACCTGTTATACAAGATTTCAAACCGTTCCACTAGAATTCAAAAGCAAAAGCGAATCGATTACAAAAGAGTGAGAAAAAATTATTAATGTCACAATCAAGCAATAACTCTATTGCTTGAAGAGCCTAAGAAGATAAGATTTTGCTCACTAAGCTATCACCACTAGATAACTTAAGATTTTACTAATCAACACAAGGTTGCCCACTAAATCACCAACCTACTGACGATTTAGACTTTTCTAAGAAACACACAAGTTGCCCACTAAATTAGTTGACCTTAACTAATCTAGAATTCTCATATTGGAAAGAACTGAATCCTTTATAGATTAGGACAAGATTACAATTTTTGGATCGGAAGAAATACTTCTAAGACTTCTACACTTTCAACACCTTGTCTTGAGTTGTTCTTTGAATTATTTCTTCTCTTCAATTTTCTCAACCGTTGCAAGAGTTGTTGAGATGCCTTTCAAGTTGCAAAAACTAAATTGTGAATGTAGAGTTATTGTGTTTATGTAGAAAGGTCACAATCCTTAAAGCAATGCCATTGGCTGAGATTTTTGGTGCGTCTGCCACTTCTGCTACTGTTGTAGATTGTGCACCAACTTCTTGTACGTTCTCCAGTTGGCAGCAAAAAGCATATTGAGCTGAGAATCATGTTCCTTCACAAGGTCCTTGTGTTTGTCAAACCAACAAAACTACAAAATAACAAAAGGGTCAGCTTTTAATACTCTTGAATTATGTACTTTGCAAAACAAAGATGGAATAACCATTGAGTATCCATAAGACCACAACTTGTTTTTTCCATATCTGTGTTAAGGCCCATTATTTTGGTGGGCAATGAAAGAGTGGAGAAAGTGGCATTCGAAGAAAAACTAGATCACAATATTTAACCTATTTTTTCTACCCACAATTTCCTTTTCTGTTGCCTGGTGATGAATTAGTTTTCAAGAGAGAGTTCCAAACTAATAGGATATCGTTGTGAGTTGCATCGAAGGTTTGCCAATACTCCTCATATCCTATATGTTTTTCCAGTAGTTCAACATCTCCGTGTCACAAACTTTTGCACGAGTTTTTATGCTTTCTTGCATTTCCCTTAACATACAGAAGAGTGGAGCCAATTATTATTCTTCCATCATAATTTTTATGACACACCGTTTCTGGTCCATTACCATTCGAATCCTGAAGAAGCAGAATCTGTTTCTTGGGACTTCTAAGTTTGTTTACAGCTTTCTCGACATGCATCTGCAGATAGAAGTATGAGGCTGTGATACTTGAAAAATAGAAATGTTAGTGACTTAGATTACAACCTCTATGCTTGTTTGCAGCTCGTGGAAACGAGAGTGACTGGCTACAAAGAAGGGTCCTCGATGGAAGTTGTATATCACATTGAATACTTCCCTAAATGAGTCCTGCCTTATCAGAAGGGTATGAAAGTGGTCATCTTCCACTTCACTATCGATATCTTCATCCACTTCACCTGTAGTATTTACAACCTCAAAAAACAACATCTTCCAAATGAGAACCAGCAACACAAACTTTAGGTTCCCGATGTAGGTTTTGTGCACTTTAATTATTAAGCCATTTTATCATTACCACAAAAAACAAGCAATTCTCTATCCCGTAATTTTTGTCTAGGTTTGAGACTAAATTCTTAAAGAGACATGATTCAGAATGTTAAGAAACTAAAAAGCCAAGTATTTTCCAATTTCGAAGATTGGGAAATTAAATTATACTAGGTAATTTACCCATGCTTTGTGTGGTCATAAATAATAATTGCATTGAACTTGCAAATAATTTTTTTCTAATATCCATACATTAAAAATGATGGAAATAGCATCTGAGAATATGGTAGCAATATTCAAATATTAATTTGATTATTTGTCATTATCACATAACTCAAGAACCTCTAATGATTTAATTATTCACGAAAAAATAAATCATTGGTTCTTTAATCAACATTAAAAGGAAAATAAAGAAATAAATAGGAATATTTATATAGAAAGGAATTTCATAGTAAAAAGAAACATTTAAGTTAATATATTCCAAAAAAAGAAATTACGCTTGAACATGAAAACAATTATAACTTTCAAACTTGTATAATTAATTTCTTCAATTAATAAGTAAAAATTTTCATATCTATTTAAAAATAGATAATCTGTAAGCTTATATATAGTACTTTAAGTTATAAATTTAATACAGAATATTAAAACATGAATTCTTGGAACTGAGTACAACAATTATTTTTTGCACAATGAATATATAATATATAACCAGAGACCATAACTTTATAAAAATATAAATGATAGATTTTAATATATGTAGTGAAAAATAAAAATTAATATCATAAGCATAAATTAATGAGTGTAAAAATACATACCAGGATATGTTAAAACATAATGGAATAGAAAGGGAAAAATTAAATCCACTGAATATACAATGTTCCTTTAAGAAAACTACTCAATTACAATCCAAGAGAGATTATATCCTCTCATGATGGAATGATTTTATTTACCAACCTATTGATATAAAAGCAGTGGTGTTAGTATGTTACTCAACAGGAACAAAGTACACGAATATTTGTTTTTGCTGAAGTAGAAGAAGAAGATCAGAATTTTTGTTGTTTTAAAATGAGAGGAAATATCACTATCTTTAAAAAAATAAAGGGTAGTGTTAACATATTTTTGTTGTGTCTTATCTGAAAGGTTACAACTATTTAGAAAAGTTATAACCCTTTGAAAAGTTCACAATCGTTCATAAAAGTTAAAACTTTTCATAAAGTCGCAACTCTTCATTAAAGTCGCAATTTTGCATAAAAGTCGCAACTCTTCATTAAAACACAACTTTTTAAATGTCACAACTTCTGATAAAAGTCATAAATCTTTATTGAAGTTGCAACTTTTTCATAAAAGTCACATCTTTTCATGGAAGAGGAAGGCTAGTTTTGGAAATTATTAAATTTAAAAGGAAATTCTCGTTTGTGGTGGCGCCACGTAGGCGGGCTTAGGGTTCTCTTTTATATAAATATATGATATCGTATGATATGATCGGCTCCACTCTGCTGTATGTTAAAGGAAATGCAAGAAAGCTAAAAGCTCGTGCATAGTTTGACACACCACTTTAACAAAAAGGCTTATTAAAGACAAAAATATACTAGTCTCTATTTGACTAAAATAATTTCTAAAAATAAAATAACTTGTCCTTGACTGAAGCGGAAAACTATAAGGCAGAAGTGGGAAACGAAAAGAATAAAAGGCTCTAAAAAATTTCTCTATATATAGTAATAACCTAAAGCCCCAAAATTGCTGAAGTATCCTTTGTGTTTTCTCTCTTTCTCTATGCATTAGTCTTTGAATTGCCTAAATCTTGAAAGTTGAAGGCATTATTGACAAAAAAAATGTCTTAATTCTTGAAGCTTGAAGGCATTTTCTTTGGAGAAAAACGTTTCATCTAGTATCTACATCTAAAGTAAGTTTATTCCTCTAGATTCATCTCCCTCTTCTTCATTTTTTAATATAATCTTTCATTTTTCTATGTGATGATTGAAAATTATGCGCTCTTGGGGATAATCATTGTTTTGTTAGCACCGAAAATGATAGTTTTGTAGGTAAGGTTGGAGGTTGAGGGTCAAAGAGGAGCTAATTGAGAGTTTATTTAAGGAATTTCTTAGTTAGGGTTGCATAATTTCTAGGGATACGAAGAAATATTTTGTAAGGTTGGCATTGTAATTTTTATCTATTAGGCGATGAATTAGTTGTATTTTTACCATTTATGTCTTTAATTTCAGTACCTAGTTTGTATGCTTTGATTTTGAATGGTTGTTTTTATTGTATTACATTGTAGTCAATTTTTAAGTTCTGACAGTAAAAATATTATATGAGAAAGAAAAAAAATTGTTAATTTATTAAAGCATCTGAAATTAATTTATTCATCGATGAGTAGCTTGAGGATTCGACGAGAAAGAAAAAAAATTGTTAATGAGCTTTGTTAAAACATCTGAAATATTCAGTAGCATTCTATTTTAATTCTACTTTCTCTTGTTGAAGTTTTTGCATTTTCTTGAACAACATTGACTTGAAACTAAATGTCTATCTTTGCTTTCAGTCAATATTTTGAATATCAAGTTATTTTGTGATCTATAAAGTTTTTATGAGTTGAATAGTTGAGTCTAGAATCCTTGAGTAAAATTCACTTTAAGAAAGTTGTTCAGAAGTAGTCGTATTATTAATTACTACGAGAGAAATTGATTTCTCTTAACACTCTATTGTTTGAAGTTCGTAAAATTTAGTTTGAGTGACTTCTATTTCTACTTACTTTTGATCAATTTAGTGTTTTTTTATTGGATTTTAGTTAAGTTTTCCCAAGAACTTTAAAAGTATGTGTGTCATATAATATACTTCAGAGTAGTTACCTTTTTTTGGTGTTTTAAATGTTGTTTGAATTGTTCTTTTCTACTAAAACTATGGCTGCATAATAGTTTCTGAAGTTACTACTTGTAGTACATTATTGAAATCTTAAGCTACCTGAAAACTTATGGTTGTTTGTCATTGTTGTTTTGTGATTCTTCATTTTAATTAGATTGTAAATGTTTCCTGAAATTGCTTGGATCCTCATGTAGTTTGATAAAAAAATTTGCTTATATCCATATTAGGATGATTTGACATGTTTAATAGAAACTAATGTTCATCTTAGTAAACATGTTATCCTAAATTATTATTCATCTAACTCTTACATATAATCAAAGGCTATGGCATCGAGTAAGTAATGGATGCAACTTACTAATGATCAAATTAATGAGTCCTACTTTATCGGGGTAGAAAATTTTTAAATTATGCTTTTCAAAGCACATGAGAAATGTATGAAATACAATATCCATGTTTCAAATGTTGTAATACCACATTAGGAACATGTGAGACAGTCATACAAGGGCGGGTAGCCTCACGTGAGGTATATGCGACCAATGACGTTGGTTGAGCTTTGGTTGCCGGAGGTTGCTGGACCTTGTGGTGGTGTTGGATTTTGCAGAATGCCAAAGAAATCAAAGACAGTTATGAGTAGTAACTTTAAAATATGTACGCTGACGTCTGATTCTGCTTGAATGATGCACAACGTTAAAGTGGCGGAAAGAGGTTCACATAGCCGCATTTGGTGTTGATCTCATCGGAGTTCCCTTTATTCAAGATAGAGAATATTGCATATTCCAATTGTGTTGGAAATTTTTTTTTAGTAAGTATCAATCAAGTCTTCCATATGTAAATTTTGTCGCTAGTGCATGCATATAGAAGCTTTTGCCTGATACACAACCTATCAAAATCTTTCTTGGTCCATGGGATAGTGGGTTCTCCATTATATGATAGGTTGAGCATAATAGGTTTGTTTTTCTCCTTGATAGTGGTGTCATGTAGGGCCGTAATGAAGTTCTTCGTTGTAGAGGGAGCTGGAATGAGTAGACCAGCTGCTGGAGGGCATGACCATATCATCTATTCTGGAGAAAGTAGGGTCACAAAATAGGATTTCGGTTGGAGAGTATTTTAATAAAGTGTAAGGTATGAGACTGTCCAAACCCTTTGGGATACACAACGGTTAGGGATTCGTAATTCCATTTTGAAGGGCTCAAGTTCGAAATTTCTTGCACGTGAAAGCAAGGGGTTTGCCTTGTGGGTCAATCTCGCCACACCGGGCTTGCCTAGTGCGGTTACCTCTCCTGTGTGGTTTACGAGCTATTGCATAGGATCGGAGTTTTTATCCTGTTCTCATCCAAAGGGTAGAGGCTGTGAGTTTTCCTTTTCATAAAAAAATATAGGTATGAGACTTTTGAACTAATTCATTTCACCTACGCCCTAACACTGAACCTAACTCTAAAACCTACATCTTAATGTAGTTTCACTCAAGATAGTGCAATATATAAGCAAATTTGGCTTTCATGCAATGACTTTGCTTTTTATGTAACAAATCTTTATAATACGACCTAATTTAATTCTTCACATCTCACTTCCCCTGTAATAACCTATAATTAATTAAGGGCATACTTGTCATTAGATTACTTTTTTTAGAAAAATCAAAAATCAAAAAAGTCTTTGATTGTTTTTTGGAAGTTACTGCACACCCAATGTGCTTGGCCCATCTTGTACATGAAATAAAATAAAGGGGGAACCTACCTTCAAGTTTAAGGAGAAATGCTGAAGGCGGCAATTGAAAAAAAAAATTAAGCTGAGGTTTCACGTTCCAAGAAAGGAGCAGTGAACGAAAAAATATTCAAGACCGTGATTTATCAGTAAAAAGAGAGGCATAAGAGGAAGGTAAGTTTTTGAGTTTATATTATAGAATTATTTTTTATATTTCATGGCTATAGAATTGGGCTTGAGAATTGGAGAATCATGTGTTAAAGAAACAGCGAAAATGTTAAATTCCGAGAAATTAAATGAGTGCATTTAATGATTAGAATGTAAATTATTGTATTTTGACTTACAACAAAAAAAGGTTGGAAAGTAAGATTATTTTGGTTATTTGAAGCATAAATTTGAGTAATGTTGGGAAGAACTTTGAATGAATAGATAGTATGGTGGGTTAGTAATATAATGGGCTAACTGAATTACTCAAAGTATGAGAAAATATAGTTGACAAAGTGAGAATCAATCATGGTAGCCCGTGGGTGGGTATTTCAATTTGTTATGAATTAGCCTAAATTTTTTTTACAAGACAATGATATAATGTGCTTATAGATCAATTGGAGGGAGTCATACGAATTTCTTGAGATGACAAGTTCGGTATTTCGATACAAACAGTGTGAGAAGTAATTTTATTACAATTGATAATTTATAATTTGCATGATCTTCACATGAATTATAAGTATATGTGTTTCTGAATATTTTGAACTTGCATGTGGGACAAGTCTTTTACTAGATATGATATTGTAATTGAGATGATTATTTTTTTACAAGATATGTTTATTGTTATTGAAAAGGTTTTACACTTAATTGAGAAATAGTATTTTGAAAGGTGATTTAAATGTTTTGTTCCATTTTGAAATGCTTCATACTGATTACAAGAAAAATATAAATGGGAGTAGACCTTGATTAATCCCGTAGCTAACGGCAGGATCGTTAGACCTGGTGCACCATGTAATTACTGATTTCTGATAAAGCCCTTGCTAGTGGGATGTGAAACTAGTACACCGTTACTGATATCCCTCAATTAGGGATCTACCTATATGAATATTTAACTTCTTCATGAGGAGCTTATTGTTATTGGTTCTTAAAGAGAAGGTCACTCTGATTACACGATTCATCGTTGGAAACCTACCAGATATAAGATTTGATATGGAAAGGTTTCTCTGAGTTTACTATTAATATTTATATTGACTTTGTTTATATGAGGCACACAAGGTTGAATATTGTTATTATTTCTGAAAGAGCATTATTTCATCATTATGATTATTGTACTTGTATGTTTTCTGACTTGCTCCTTGGTAAAATGGTTGTGGTTAAATATTATTATTCACTGAGCTTGCGTCTCACTCCTTGCTATATCTTTTTTTACAAAGAATACCGGTGACTTTTGTAAGGTATAGATCTTTTGAGTTGATAATTTCGGGTGAGCCCCACACTTGTTCTCGTGGATAAAAAACTTATTAGTTGTTATAGACATTTGTTGGAATTCTTAGAGTCACTCCATAGTCATTTCTTTTATTAGAAGTTTATGAGTATTCTTTAGTATTGCAAATTGGTGCCTTGTATGAGACTTATGTTTTGGAGTTTGAATTACTTTCTTTACTCTCCGAATACTTTATTGATGAATAAGGTGGGAACAAGATAAGATTGGTTGGCTGCGTTATTGATTTATGTTAAAGGTAATTTCTGGATCGGCCCCAAAAACAGCAGATACTTTTTCCGATTTTCTGTAGATTTTTGGTTAAGGCTTGCTTGGAACTCTTCTCCTTAGCGTCATTCATGACTCTAAATTGGGTCGTGAGATCCTCAGAGAATATGCTTGCGTCACCCATTTTGTCAAAGCAATGCATGACTTGTTAATCTTGTGTTACATGCTCCTCACACCACCATAAATCCCCAATTTAGATAATGATATTCTTGATCATATCACATCTGGTGTAATTAGATGTAAAATGATTGTGGATTTTATTGTTGATTTTACTAGCTCATTACATACTTGTTATAGTTTCCTCTTTCAATTGCAAGTTTAAACTTTTTCAAATATTCTCTTTTTGTTGATATATCTCTAAAAGTTAATCTCTATAATTTAACAAGAAATATCTGGTGGAATTAATGAGGCTGCCGAGTTGATATATCTCTAAAAGTTACTCTTTACAATTCTCAACTTGTTTTAAGAAGATATGCCTGCTAAATTAGGATAAATAAACAAACGAATTTGTGTGTATTACAAAAAATGTTAAAGACTCCTAAATGTTTTTAGTTTTATCATCATGTGTGAACATGAAAATTCACTTTTAGTTTTATATTTAACTTTTATCATTTTGTTACCTTGACAAAGTAAGTCGAGGGTCTACCGGAAACAACATCTCTATCTCTATGAGATAGGGGTAAGGTGTGCATACACTCTATCATCGGAAAACCTCAGTTGTGGGATTACACTCTTTATATATGTTGTTGTTGTCAAACCTGCAAGTTAGTTTTTACTTGTGCACTAATTTTCAAGAACTGGTAGAGGCTTGATGCAAATGATAGTTGTGTTCTTTTGACACACACATCAGAAGGGAGCCAACATGGATAATACTAACAGGCAAAACTTTGTCAAGTTTCTAAAAAATCAGCTTGATCTATGGGATAAAACATGCTGTTTTTCACTTTGGATATGATTACAGAATTGAAGGATTTTCATAAAGTTCTTACGTAGTAGTATTGGTTAAGTTTAGTAATGGCAAGTATAACGAGGTTACTTATAAAATGACATGTAAAATAGGGTTTATCTTGTGGTTGAGAAATTAATGAAGACTATATTCAAGAACTGAGATAATTATTTAGTCCCTGCCGTTTTTTATTTTGTTTTATTACCATTTAACTGCTCATTCTTCGGATATAGAATAGTCATCTTGTTTGCAAGATATGTTGTGTTGGTGAGGTTGGCTAAGGGTTTGGTTGACTTGCCTGTATGTTACTAGATAGGGTCTTGGTGGTAAATGTTGGTCTGTTGGTATTCATTTGTATGCCAATTGACTCTTCAAAACCTGAGAGTCCTACTACTATTTTTTGATTTGCAAAGAATGAGTATATTGGTACTTGATGCTGGAGAAATGTACAATTAGCAACCTTACAAGGAAGTCCTACTATTATTTCATTATTCACTTTATATTTATGTTCCTGTGCCCTTCAAACTGTTTGAGAATGCACTTGTGACTAGTTTTTTCTTTCTAATCACAATAATATCCCTTTGCGGTCCCCTTTACCAATTTTTATTTTATATCTACAAAATTAAGGGACTAAGCTTCAAAGCACCTCCATTAGTTATTGTTGATGCCTGTATTTGAACTAGTACCTGAAATTGTCAAGTTTGTTTCCCATTGCCCTTTAGTTAGTCGCACGTTCTAAATTTACTAAAAAAGAGGGTTGTTCGATTAAGCATCAACTTTGTCCTCTTTCCATCTATGTAGTATATCACCTAAAGAATATTTGGCATCCCATTTTGGAAATATGAATGTTCAACCTTTATTTGTATTTTCAGAAAGAAAGTATATTTTTTGTTCCACCCTAAATGAAACAAAGATTAAAAAAAATGTCAAGTACGATTTACGAGTAGTATTACTTGTTCACTGTATACGTTGTGAGCACTCTAGGACCTTAAAATAGGCACTTGTAGAATCTTTTATTAATAATCAACTCAGTAAGGCACTTAAAATACGTTCCTTTTCCAGCTACAAACCAGTCCTAAGGAACTACTTATTATGCATGATCCATCGCTCAGTCAAGGAGGTCAGATGAATTCCTTTACTTTTGCTGGCAATCAGTACCTAATGCAAAATGGAAATGCTGAGACCTTTATCTGCGAATCCAATGTGGTTATGATTTTCAAAGAAATCTGCCTAGTTTGTTTTATTTTGTCATTGATGGATGCAATATACATAGTAGTTTTGATTATAGGTATAGATATATCTACTAGCATCTGTTATTTGAGACGATAATGAACATGATAATTTTTGTGAAGTAAATGGATCAATATTAATGACTGCATCATTTAATTACTGCAGAAACTTGAGGATGAAGTGAAGGAGATTGGTCTTCAAATTAAACAACATGAAGATAATATCAAATTCTTACAGGGTCAGAATTTAGTTGTGTTGTAAAATGCATGTGCAATTTTAAGTTAATTAGTTGTGTTGTAAAATGCATGTGCAATTTTAAAAGGATACTGTAGTTATTTTGTTCTTTCAATAATCTAGAATATAATATTTTTATTCTGTCTTTTTGGGAAGTAAACAATCAAACATTTTTAAGATTTTCATATCAATGGGCGTCTTTCAAATTTCAAATAAATACGGATTTTATGATTACTTTTGCACTGAATGTTAGCCATCAGCTTGTTTTAGTGAGCTTAATATATTGTTCATGGGTTTAATGTTTGTATTGCCTATTTTAAAGAACTCTGTGTATACTATATCATTCACTTAAACTTTTTTCTTTCCCTTTTGTCATATGCCTTTTCATTATTTCTCAATTTTAATGCCTTGTGCTTGTGGGGTATTGTAGCTGCTCTCGCCAAGACTTATTCAGCAAGTGGAGCTGGTTATGAAAATAAGGAATCTTCTAATGGGCAACATGAGTTGGAGACCATTGAATAAATCTTCACATTGAATTGTTGCCAGCTGCCAACATATATTTCGTATATGAACGACGTTATAGGAATTGTTGCTTTGCTTGGCAAGGTTGACGATGATAACCTCAGCAGGTGAGTTTCACATAGCATCCAGTAATTGCTGGCCTTTTTTTAAAAAATAGATAAAGAATAAAAAAGAAATGAGCTTTGTATGAGTCCACTTTCTATACTAGTCCATGTTCAAGAGGTTATAACACTTGTTCACTCTGTCCCATTCAAGATGACAATATGTGGCTGTATGATGGTGAAGACTTAAGACAAAAAGTTTAATACCTTCTATTATTTTAATTTTTCATAGGTATGCTTAGAATGATTAGGATTTGAATGGCGCAGATTAGGGTAGAGTGTTAGTTTGTATTTGAACGTTTTCTCGCTTTCTTGGGTCGTACTAAATAGTCCTACATTAGTTTGGTAATGAATGTCTAGTTTGCATATACAGGCTTGGGCAATCTTCCCCTCATGAGTTATATTTTGGGGGTTGACTTTGGCCCTAGTGCCATTTCTTTACCAAGAAGTAGGCAGATAATGGAAGTTCACTATACGAACAAAAAGAAATTTAGAAGTTCATTGTATTATGACTAACATTTGTATCTAAATCTCTGAAATCGTGGACTCTCTCAGAATATCTTGGGCTAGAAACCATGTTAGCAGTTGTTTGCAAGACGCATGATGGACTTAAAGCACTACTGACATCTGATAAGAAAGGTCCTACGAATACAAGTTCTCGTCTTCATGGAGTTGGATCTTCAATTGGGGGACCTTTGCACCGATATCTTGTAATCTGTCTTGAGAACTTAATGTTTGAGGTTATGATGATCTGTTCTTACAAATGCATCTCATATTCTTTAGCACTTCCTTACTTCTTATCTTTTTCATTTTTGGGTTATCATTTTAGACCATACACTGGTGAATTTATTGCTGATGACCCTAAGAGGAGGCTTGCCATAAGGAGGAAGCCTAGATACGTCAACAAGGAAACTTCTCCTGGTTTTCTTGGTTTTGCTGTCAATATGATTAATATTGACACTGCGAACTTATATTGTGTTATAAGCAATGGTCATGTCCTGAGAGAGACCCTCTTCTCTGGACTCGTCGCACAGTTGCAAGTATACAAAACAAGGGCAGACATGATGCAGGCACTACCTTTTATAACTAATGGAGACATATCATTGGACGGTGGGATCATAAAGAGTGGTTGTATATTTTCCCTAGGAAAAAGGTAAAGAGGTTTGTCTTAAGTAGTGCGTTTATATTCATAAATTTTTCTTCCTTCATAGTTCAACTTGTTTGTGAAGATACTTTACAAGAATTGATTGCCTATTACATGTTCATTTTTGAGTATCAAGTAATATACTTCATCTCTAACTGTGCGCCTGAACTGAGAAGTTGGTGTTATTTTGTGACCATGTTGCTTAACCGTTGTGGAGTTAAGTAGTTTGACCTTTCACGAACTTACTCTGTCAATTTGTATAGAATGGTGCAAGAAAGCATGTTCTTCCATTTCTTTCACTGTATCTACAGCAATCTTCTTCAAAGTAGTCTTTGTTATACTCCCTCTGTCCCTTTTTACTTGTCCACTTTTGAATTGTCACACCAATTAGGAAAATAATTAATGACATAGTGAGTTTACCATTTTACCCCTATTAATTATGAAGTGGATAAAAAGTTCTTCATTTTTCAAAGTAATTAGTCATTTAATTGTGGGTTTTAGGTAAAAAAAAATTGCCCTTTCTTGATTTGTCAAAATGGACAAGTAATTAGGGACAACTGTAAAAGGAAAATTGGACAAGTTATTAGGGACGGAGGTAGTATTTGTTTGTAATGTATTTTCATTTCAAAATGATTAACAAACCATATTTGAATTTTCTGGGAGTAGTGTCTTCAGGATTTAACACGTGTCGAGACTACGACACATTTTAGATTTACCTGAATGACTTTTGGTAATTATTTATATCTTATATCTTTATCCACTGTCTTGTGGGAGTTGTTTTTAATCCTAATCCTATGTTTATATATTACATGTATTTGATGTTGTATGTTTATAAACTAGATTTATTTGAATTAACAACACACTTTATTTTTCTTTTTGATGTGATCATTGAATGATCATACTCTCTACCTTCCCATAGTAGGGGCATGGATGCGTACACTCCATCCTCCCAGATCCACTTGTGAGATTACACTACATGTACTGGATGTGTTGTTGTTTGTTTGTATTGCATCACTAAATCATTTGGATTTTTTTCTTTCTCGTATTTACTTTTGTAAAGGGAAGTACAAATCAAATTTCCAAAAAGTTTTGGAAGGTCGTACCTACGTAAAAGCTACATTAAAAGTGAGATCCGGATGAAGGAGCTGAAGTGGGAAAGAGTAAGATGTGTGGAAGATTTAGAGAGAGAGCAAACATTGCTGACGAATGCAAAGAACAACTTTAAAATAAGGAAAGAAGAGTTTGTCAAGTTTCTTTCACAAAGGTCATCCTATCTTTAAGGGTTATATACTTAAGTGTGTCTAGTTAGACTATACATGCTTGAGATTTTTTTACTTGATACTCTTTGTGCTTACATCCTTCTTTAATTGATTGACGATATCATTTGATAGTTGCTGATTATACTTGCAATTTATCATATTAGGTGAGAACCGTGCATGGATTAGAGATCCTTTCCCCTGAGAGCTGTTTAAGCTTGTGTTTGCTTAACTGTGCCATTTATCAATATTTTCTTTGAGCAGTCTAAATATCGATGTATATATAGGAAGTGAGATGCGAAAATAATTTCACGAGAAAGGGATGAAATTGGTTTTTATAGGATGCAGTAAGACTGTCCTTTTTCAACTGATCCTATGTATCCTCGAAAAGATCATGTTTACGTTAAAAAAAAGACTACCCACCAAATGCAGGATGGAACGATTTACGACTAGTTCTCTTCTCCATTCCTTTTGCCATCCCCCTGCAACTGTTAAAGAGTTCCATAGTAGTTTTTTGACAAATCGTCAGTGTGCACAATCTTCCTTTTACCTGCAAATATCATTCTCGATATCTGATGGTTCTAAGGGCGACCCTTGTTTTCTGTTTTGATGTAGTAAGTTGCTGGGCACTTTCACCCATACTTGGATTGTGAACAAAAATATACCATTCTTTATTATCACTAATTCTTCGGAATCTCATAGCCGTCTACTTTATTCTGACCACTAATGTAGTTGAGATGGAGACTTCTTCCATTTGCATTCACCATGTATAACCTACTGTGCATCTGCTTTGGAAGCAAATTCTGAAAGGAAACTGTGGTTACCCATATCATAGGTATTTAATCCATGAGCTTGTTTCCAGAAACCATAGGACCACTTCCTAATATCTTATAAATTGGGCAGCCCCAGAAAGTTTTCGTGGAAATTGCATGCCACACACATGTTCAAAATATCATTTTAAGATGAGTCAAAAGATTCATCAATATGAATGGCTCTTTCCTTTGACAAACTGTTCCTTCTTCTTTGGAGGTGCTAATAGAAATGATCTTTTTATGCATATCTTAATCAAAATACAGAATCTACTGACAATGTTCTAGCATGAAGGAGAAATCGTGGCAAAGGATTTCCAGAACTTCAACTGATGGCTCGAGATGTATTAGCTATTCAAGTAGCTTCGGAAGACGTTCTTATTGCAGCAAGGATTCAAATTGGAGATCATAGGCATTCACTAGCAGCAGATAGCTTGGAGATATCGGTATTATTTAGAGATTGGTTTAATGCTGAGAGAAGAAATTTTGGTCGTGAATCACTACCGACCAAATTTCAAAGGGACATTTATGAAATAATGCAAGATTATAATGGGAATGACAGTGAAGCAATGGAGAATTTATCTATTCAACCAATTCGTGATCATGTTATTAGAGAAATGTTAAATGATTTCAGAAAAGATCTCTATAGTAGCATCGACTATTAAATTTATATGTTTAATTGTCTATTAGTATGAGTATGATAATTCGAGAACTATTTTAAACAGAACCAATCGTAGAAGGTGCCTATGTAGATTAGATCTTTTAATACTCTACTAATATTTTTGTAGATCAAATTGTACTATCAAATTAATATTAATAAAAGTCTAGGCTATTTGCCTTAATTGTTTTTATTATTGTCTTTAAGTAATTTTTATTATTGTGAATTAAACTTTTATAACGTCAAAGTTAGATTTTTAAATTTTCATATTTTTAAATTTAATATTTTAAAGTATAAATATAAAATTTTATGTTTATATTCAATGTTTCAAACTAATATTTACATTATATATTTATAATTGGAAAGATTGAATTTTACAAACTTTCAAACTTAAAACTTTAAAGTTTTATAAAATTTCAGACGTTGAAGTTTAAAAAGTATAAATAATTAACTTTAAAAGTTTGAAAAGTATAATTTTTAAACTTTAAAACAATAAAATTTTTAACATTTAATTTATTTTAATTAAAAAAATTAATTTATCCCGCCCAGTCCCGAAATTCGGTCTGGTTTGGTTCCGTACCGGTTCACTAGCGGAACGGGACGGGTACATGTATAATTGACCGGAACTACCCGTACCGGTACGACTCTTTTCCGGGTGGTGGTTCTCGGTTCCTTGCTGGTTCAGATTAATACCGGTCCGACAGTCTCGATTTCGGTTCGTTTCCAACCATTGCAGCCACTACCTTTTATAATTTATGGAGCCATATCATTGGACGGTTGTATCATAAAGAGTCCTGGTATATTTTCCCTAGGAAAAAGATAAAAAGGTTTGTATTAAGTAGTGCGTTTATTAGATTCATAAATTTTTCTTTCTTCATAGTTCAACTTTTTTGTGAAGATTGCCAATTAAGTTGTTCATTTTTTAATATCAAGTAATATACTTCATCTCTAAATGTGCGCCTGAACTGGGTAGCTAGTGTTTTTTTTTGACCATGTTGCTTTACCTTTGTGAAGTTCAATAGTTCGATCTTTCACGAACTTCCTCTATCGATCTGTATAGAATGGTGCATGAGAGCATGTTCTTCTATTTCATTCACTGTATCTACATCAAAGCCTCTGCAGGTAACCTTTGCTACATTTTTTGTAATGCATTTTTTTTCAAAATGATTAACAAACCATTGGCATATTTTTTGAATCATTATTCTACGGGGGGGGGGGGGGGGGAGAAAAAAGAGTAAAAACATTATAGAAGTTAATTAGGAAAGATAATCTATAATACAATTTTCTAGGATAGGAGTTTTCAGTATTTTTCACGTTCTAAGCCTAAGACACATATGAGATTTACCTCAATGAATTTTGGTAACTACTTATATCTTAATCTCACTGTCTCGTACGAGTTATTTTTAATCCTATTCTTAAGTTTATATATTATATGTATTTGAGTTTGTATATTTATATATTAGATTTATTAGTATTCACTTTATTTTTCTTGTTGATGACTTTAGTGTATCATTATCTTCTCCACCTTCCCAAGGTAAGGGTATGTCTGCGTGCACACCACACTCCAAGACCCCACTTGTCGGATTGCAGTGGATATGTGTTTGTTTGTATTGCACCACCAAATCATTTAGATTCTTTCTTTCTCGTGTATATTTTGGTTGTTATGAATGCAAATAGTGAGGTGAACGCCAACGTGGCTGAACCAATCATGCCAGCTATTGTTATGAATGAAAATAGTGAGGAGGACGCCAACATGGCCGAACCAATCATGCCAGCTAGGCACATCACACGAGTTAAGAGGAAACCAAAAAGATTAACTGTTTTGAATATAAGGTGGGGTAAAACGTGTGAAGAAATTTGTGAGCACATGGGCGTTATGTATTTATTGTAAAACAAGATATAGCAGGATCACAAAGTAGGGTTTTATTGTTATGGTAATTTTCTGAGTCTGTCATCCCCAATTCTTAGAAATTTGAGCATCTCATCCCCCTTGTTCCCTATCTTATATTTCGGTCTTTTATAATTGTTTTCAATCGTTACATTCTCTACATTAAGTTGAATTGTAATTCAGTTCTAGTTCAAAATAATAAATACAATACTTGAGACTTTGTTACTGTTATATTCATGCTTTCATTCTTGCCTGTCTAATGGCGGACCAACACTTGAAGGGTACCGACAACATATTTGTTGCCCAGGAAATTGCAAATATTCACTCCTCTATACAACAATTGGCAGCTTCCATGGCTACGTTAGTCCAGCCTACTCGTGTCCCTGCAGTGGATCCAGATCATTATCGTGAGCGGGAGCCGTGGGTGAACCTCCCAGAACCACCGCCATTCCCTCCTATTCTTCGCCACAAGCCAGCACCAGTGGAATTTGGGCGTTTCTATGGCATTAATCCAGAGACTTGGATCTTCCAAGTAGAACGATATTTTTATTTTTATCGCATTGTTGATGACCATAAATTTTCCACGGCTTTGTTCTATCTCGATGGCGATGCTCTCGAATGGTACCGTTGGTTGTATCGCAATAAGCAGTTGATTGATTGGGACTAATTTGTGAGAAATTGGTTCATCGATTTTGAAAAGGGGAGTTAGAAGCACTAGAGGTTCTTTTGGCTGAGATACAATAGATTACAA